TTTGGAGCTGTCCACACCGCAGGAATTCAAAGGAAAACACCTCATTTGATTTCCTTTTCTCCTCGTAAAATGAGGGTTACAGGTGTTGGAGTAAGAAGTCCCCCATCTCGACATTATTTCAAAATAATGACTTGCTGTATAGACATGCATTTTGTTATTTCAAAATAACACCAGTTATTCCAAGATAACACTTCTGTGTAGATGTACCCACATATATTAAACTTCAACTAGTTACCTCTAATTTACAGAAATAAGCAAGAGGAGAAACAAGCATCCCAGCATATTGCAGTTTGCATCAGGTTGTTTGTATTACTATAGATCAGCCGTCAGACCAGATCTTTTGAGTAGCCACACAGACAACTTCCTTCTTGAATTCCAGTGCTCTCTTCAGAACCTTATCTAATCTTTTTACAAAGACCTTCTCTTAAAGAGATAGTGATGATTAGCTGCACCACTATTATTTTTACATCCCGGCTTCTCCTAAACTGTGCCTGCAATAAATACTGTGACTTAATATAATGAGCACTTACATGCTCTCATTTTTTTGGAGATTGTGCTAATAGCTGCAATCCACAATTAAGAAATCAGAGGGTCAAAGCAACAATACACTTTGCATTGCCCTGCAAATGTGAAGAAAAGTTGGCAGAGTACAAGCACCTTATGCTTTTTTTTTCTGCTTTCAGTAATAGGCAGAAAGAGAATTTACCCTTTGCAAGGAAGGAATAGTAACCATGTACAGAGAGAAGCAGGAAAAGTACCAACAGCACATACTATAGCTCTGAATCAGTGCAGCATTTACTTGAACTATGCCATTGTCTAACATATGGTTTAAGCCATGTTAGCAATGTGTTTAAACATCTTGGGTCTTGCTAGCATGGTTTCCCTGACTTGTGACTAAAGAAGGTTTTTTTTTGCCTGACATGGTTTTATAATACACAACTGACATCGTTTCGGGGGTGGGAGGGGGGGAGTGGAGAAGGGGAGGAGAGAGGAATGTCCCTGAATGCACTCATTAGAGAAAGAGCTTGTGAAATGTTTTATTCTGGATTGTGGCTGCTCACTAGTCCATAGTTTTCATAATCCTGCAGTCTGGCAGAGGAAAAAAGACACAGATGAGGAATGTGTGTGTGTATCTAAGGAGTGACTTCAGTCAGAAAAGAACACAGATACATTTTGGAGGACTAGTTCTTTTTACAACAATAACCGCTTTGTTCACAGCTGTCAGAGTCAGAAATAAAATTCTAGACAGAATTTCAGCAATGTGGTTCTGATAACTGCAAGTCATAACAAATGGCCCCCAGAGTTATTTCTCAGAATTATTGATTCAAGGAAGCCTTGACTTTATTCTCACGCAGAGTTTATATTTATTTGGGTGTGGGACAGGCTGTGACGATAATGAATGTTCTCATGACTTCATCAGGAAATTGACACATTTTAAATAAACTTTGAATTCAGAGTGACTTAGCATTATTACTGCTTTTAACCAACTCATTGGGTACTAGAATTTGGATCCTTGCCTAATGCTTGTGTAAGTACTGCAGCGAGATCAACTAAAGCATGTGCACTGTGATTAGCATGCTGCTTGAGAGGAAGTGAGTCTTATTAAGTCTAGGAAGATTTGAAATGACCTGTGTTTATTTTATGTAGATGAATTGTCATAACTATATAGAGAACATGAACTTCCCACAGAACTAGTTCAAATAGATTTGAAAGGACTTCTATAATCATTTTGAATATGACAATTGATATCCATTAAAAATGCAGATCTTGGTTTGATATAAAGAGATGTATTATTCTTTAAGGGTTCAACAGTGTATACAGTCATTGCATAAGTCACAGAGCAACACAATAACACAGATTCTTGGCCCAAGTTAAGTATCCAGGGACTTAAAGCTACTTTACATGGACAGCTGGAAATTCTCCTGGTTTAGAATAATACCCAAGTGGTATAAAGCTGACATAGCCAGCTCCAAATTTCCCACACCTCCACAGACAAGAAAATGTGGAGGCATGGACAGAGCACATGGTGCTCTGGCAAGCCATCGCCAACTGGACGGTCCTCTAAGGATATGTCTACTCTACTAATAATGTTAACCCCAGACTTGGACCCAGAGTCAGGACCCCACGAGGATGAAGGGTCCAAGCCTGAGTCAAACCAAGACCCAGAGTTCAAGCCCTGTTGCTTTGCAGTGTAGGAGTCCATCAAAAGTATCCCACACTTTTATGGCCCAACTTCTTTTGTCCTCTAGACAGTTAAGTTTGGTGAACAGTCAGGTTTTCCCAAAACTGCACCATGACCAAAGGGCTAGGGCAGCCATGTTTTGGAAGAATAATTTGACTCAGGTTTGCAAAATGCAGTTTAGATGCTCAAACCCAGGGTTCGACAATTCCTAACTTGAGGTTACAAATGAGTGTAGATACTCAACCCCTAGGTTAACAAACCCAAGTTCTGCTAACTAAAATTCCACTAACTCTGGGTTACACTGCAGTAGAGACATACCTTAGAAGACAATGCCTGCCTCTACTGAGGCAGGTAAAAAGATAATTTAGAGCCTCCTTTGCCTTCCTCCTCAATTATGCCAAGCTAGTGTTCAGTCCCACAAAGTTTACTAGATAAATAGGCAGCCAACACATGACATACTGGATGATTAAAAGTTTATTTTATTTATTTTAATTTTATTTTATTTACATATTTTACCCCACCTTTCTATTTAGAATATTCAAGGTGGCAAGTTTAGTGCAGTGGTAGGTGATAACTTTATTTACCTGAGCATCTGCAGGTGCAGATGCTTACAGCTCCCTTTGGCTGCGGATCACCATTCCCAGCCAATGGGAGCTTTGGGAAGTGATGTCCCGGTCCATGTCACTTCTCCAAGCTCCCATTGGCTGGGAACGGCACTCCACAGTCATCAGGAGCTACAAGTGCCCGTACCTATGAAGATTCATGTAAATAAAGCAGTGGCAGCCCACCAGGAGCTAACCCTGGTGAGTCATATCCAGCTTATTGCCCACCCCTGGGTTAATCCTTTAGAGTATTTTTAAATATAATATTTGGGTATCACCACTCGTACTGACATGAGTGAGCTTTGTAGGCTTTGCAGAAGAATTGAAATCAAGCAGCAGAATTTTTTATGAAAACCAGTTCATTTTAAATAATTTTTCTTAAAAATATCTTGAAGCCAAATCATCAGCACTGGCAAATGAAATAGAACCAATAAGTGTCCTGAAGCAGAAATATTAAAAGAACATAGCTGGAAGATCAAAATCCATTTGATTATTTCTATCCCCTGGTATCTGAGTTTTCCCTTTGTATTTGAAACTGCATTGGCAGTGCACAGAGAAAGTAAATAGAACCCTCAACAAGCTTACCGTATTATAAGCAGTTCCACCCAGACTCTAACAAAAGCCAGTAATGGCCCAAATGCCTCCAGGATATAAGTGTAATGGCCACCAGATTTCTTGATACATGTTCCCAACTCAGCATAGCACAGCGCACCTATGGAAATGTATTTAAAATTGAAATAATGTATCACGTGACATAACCAATAATACTTATTTTAAAAATTTGTGATACTTTAGTATTAGGAACAGACTAAACAATAGTGTGTAATTTATGGAGTAATTTTTTCTGACAAATTTCAACATATTTCTTCAAATAAGGTTTCATAAATACATTTTTCATTAGTTCAGTTAGCCTTGTAAGTGGCCAGCTATTTGTGTGTAATTTATGCAATGATGTTTTTCTGTAACCCACTGTATAGACAATTTGTAACTACAGTTTCTTATTACTCAACCAGCTCTAGTGAACAGATAAGTTAGCATGACACAACATTTTTACCTGTCTGGCTATCCCACAAACAATGACGAAGGCATGTCCGCACTTGGAGCGCAAGGTGTGATTCCCACCTCAAGGAGACATACCGTACTAGGTCTCATCAAGCTAAAACTAGAATATGGGAGCATGAGCAGAGGGAGGAGCAATGAATCCTTTGATAACGAGCCCTTCCAAACACTCATTCTGCTGTAATTCCATCCTGTTTACAGCAATCTAGCTACACCCTCTTGAGCTGTGAATCCCATCACAGCTTGAAATGTAGATGTACCCCAATTCCAGTGACTAGGAAATACCATTGATTCAGTCTCTGCTGAGATTACAAGGGCCTAGACACTGTTTACTAGTGCTGAGGCAAGTTGATGGAGCAATGTCAGGAAGCGTGTAGTCAGGACTTCATCCTATTGGATGGTAAATGTGTTGTTTACAAAGCCTAGCAACCCACCCCCAAAATCAGGTTGTTCACTGCTTGCATGTTACTGCATTTCTTCCTCGCTCTGGGAAGCTTCTATATTTCCTTAAAAGAACAGCTGACTTCACATTTCCCTAGTAAGAGGAATCCTTCATTCTTCGATGTATTTATACAGGTTGAAATAAAAAGAAAACCAGTGTTTTGTTATTATTTTAGGAGGTCTGCTCCCTCAAAAAAAGTGATTTGGTCCACTGTGAAGGGACTGTAAGAGAAATCTACAACACCATGACAACCCCCAGAAAGCTCCCAGAGGCTGCCACATGCACAATATGCATTCTCAGCCTTTATGGAGCAAACAACAACTTGCACTAAATATCCTTAGCCATGTGCCATCCCTCCATTCTTTATATCTGTTGGCATGTTTAATAGGCCTTCACACATTTGAAAAGCCAACAGATTCTCAGTTCCATGTATGGACAGCATCAGTCAATGAGAGATTTATCAGCATTAACAAATACAGTCAACCTGTCCATTAGTGTGCACACAGTATTTAAGAAGCCTTTGGGAACCAATGGTAAAGTGATATGGTACATAGTATTATGAGTAGTAGTACATATGGAGTTATCAATTATGTGTTTCCTAATTAATTAATGTGAAAAAGAACAATATATATAGTACCTTAAATGTCCAGTGTGATGTGGTGACATGCATACATCTGATATAGCTATTGCAATGCAAAAAAAAATGCCACATTATATACAATTTCAGAGATGGATTTGTAATTTAAAGAGCTTCTGCTCTGTTCTTTTTCTAACAGCAGTGCATTCAAGCATATGTTTTAATGACAACTACTAGGCATATCTCATTTGGTAAACTTTTTTTCAGATTATTTAGGGTACCTGATAATCTATTTACAGTCACATTTAAGAAACCAATTGACAGATTTTTCTTTTCTTGCCAAGCACATCTGGACAGATGCAATACACAATCGCTTTGAGGTAACTACTGTATTGTTGCCATACATGTTTCACAGACACCTTTACTGATTAAACAGGTGATCTTTCCATAAGATTTTACCACAATATATAGTGTAGGAGAAGTCTCCATAATTTACTACATTTTAATGTCTAGCTCATAAAATGCATAACTAAATTAAATTATATAGTGCTATGTTGAGGCAAGTTCTATATTTAAATTTAATCTAAAGGCCAACGTCTCATAACTAGATTCCAAGTTATGTATCAGCTTTCACTTCAATTTTGGAAGAGGGTTTCAGTCTAAGGTGGAAACTCCAAAGTTCTACCATTTTTGGTGCATTGGCATAAAAAAAATAGTTCAGTTTCTGTTCAAAATTGATCTTTTATTCATCTATGTTTAGGGCCTTAATGTTCCTTCTTAACAGATGATGCCTCTTAAGTCCACAGAGAGTTTACACAGGATCACATTTACAGGGCTTAAGCCCTGTTTTACTCAGTAATTGCCATCAAGACCACCTGCCAGGAAACAAGGAGTCTGCCAGAAAAAATGGCAGTAATCAAAACCCCTCAGTATGTGTTAACTGCAAAGGTCCATAACTTTTTGTGACATGTTTTTCCATAGAGATATCGTGAGTTGGCGAATAAAGTGAAAAAAGAATAACTAAGTTCTTTCTCACTTACTCACTTGCTTG